ATAATAACAACAGTAATAATGATAATAATAATAATAATAATAATAATGATAATAATAGTAATAATAATAATACCAGTAATAACAGTAACTGATGATATCAATATTATTAATAATGATAATCTAAATAATAATAATAATAATAACGAGGAAAGTGATAAAAATACTAAATGATAACAATAGATGATGATGATTATGATAATAACAACAACAATAATAACAATACTAATAATAATGATAATGATGGTAATAATGATAATGATAATAATAATAATAATAATAATAATAATAATAATGATAATAATAGTAGTAATAATCATAATAACAATATTAACATAATAATCATAACAATAAGAAAAGTAATAAGGATAATAACACTAGTACTAACAATTAACAATAATGTTAATAAAAGGAATGATAATAAGTACAACAATGATAATAAAAAAGCTAATGCTGATTCGCAGTGAAAATACCAGTTATCACAATGACAGGAATAATGATAATTTCACTAATACCAGAGCACTTCACTCGCGTCTCTTAGTCTTCGTACGATTATAACGTTGCTTTGATTTGACCCCAAAAATCTAATGAATCAACTGCTTTTCTCTCAAAGTCTATCACACATTATTATTATTATTATCTTTTATTTCATTTCCTCTTACATGTTCTAGAATATCAGATGCATTGAAAGATTTAGAAAAATATATCCCTTCTATGTAACTACTGGATATACATCTGGATGAATCTCATGGCAGCGAGACAAACACTGAAAATGTAAACAGTGGGTATTTTTCTCATCAGGCACATGAACTCAATGAGTGTGGGTGTTGTATCTGTGTCAACAATATATTATATTTTCTCTGTGTTTTTATTTTTTTTTTGTGTGTGTGTGTTTACAAGAAAAGAACGTTTTATCTTTTTTTATATACAGCGTGGATAAAAGAAATGAACAACTGGTGTGTTGGAGGAGATATATAGAGATAGAAAGAGCTCGTTTTATTTCACTGTCACCTCTTGTGATGTTCTGGTACTGTCATCTATTGACAATTCTCTTGTTTAAAATAACAGTCAACAACTTAAACAAAGGCAAAAATAATGATATTTAAAGAAAAATAGATAAATCATTTTTTTTATAATGTACTGGCCTATTCCCTAGACATAATTCGGTTGCTTTTAATAATATTAACAATTTGACCATTTATGTAATTTGTGATAAATGTCAATAGCAGTTTTAAAAAATCAATCATTATTTTGACAGTAAAGTCAACTTCATATGCAAATACTATTTGAATATTTTTTCTTCCTAAAAGGGCAGACGGAATCAATTCAATGAAACCCTTAATACAATACAAACAGGAAGTTGATAAAAATCAAATCACTTTTGTTTATAGAAAACGTCCGATGCAATATGTTTGGTTAATTGAATGAGAACCTCATCATATTTCCCAGTATGTTTGCGTTTCTTATGAGGTCAGTTGAACATGACCGACTTGCAAACGTTGCAGTGGTGTATACTGTAGATTGCATACACAAGTGCATAGCAACGCGCGCACGTACAAATAAAAACACATACACATGTACATACACACACATACATACACACACACACACACACACACACACACACACATATACAGACACACACACACACACACACACACACACACACACACACACACACACGTATGCACACGCACACGCACACACACACTCACACATACACACACACACACACACACACACACACACACACACACACACACACACACACACACACACACACACACACACACACACACACACGTCTGCACACGCACACAAACACACACACACACGCACACATACACACGTATGCACACACACACAAACCCTCACACACACACGCGCGCGCGAGCACAAAACTACACACTCCCCTGCGTACTATGAAGTTAAAGTTATCATTACTATTCTAGTTATTTTTTAATTACTTATGTTATCATTATTATTGTTATTATGTTATCATTTTCATCTTTACTACTATTACTATTATCATCAGAATCTTTATTGTTCTTACTATCATCATTATCACTATCATTATTACTATCATTACCATTATTATTATCATTATTATTATTATTATCATTATCATTATTATTATCATTATTATTATTATTGTTATTATTATTATTATTATTATCATTATTATTATTTTTTATTATCATTACCATTGTCATTATTATTTTTCATTATTATTCTTATCATTATTATCATTATCATTATCATTATTATCATTATTATTATTATTATTATTATTATTATTATTATTATTATTATTATTATTATTATTATTATTATTATTATTATTATTATTATTATTATTATTGTTGCTGTTGTTGTTATCATTATTATCATTATTATAGCTCTCATAATTATTGTCATTATCATTACTACTGCAACTTCTACTAAAATTACTACTACTACAACTACTACTAATGTTATTGCTATATGTGTAGATATCATTACGACTTTATTTAATGCTACCACAATTGATAATCATATTATTAGTTATGAGGTATTGATTATTAATGATTAATTATCAATTGTTAATTATTAATTATGAGACAATCAGACAATTAACTAAAGCAAAAAATACATCCAAACAAACACCCATTAACAAACAAACACCCATTAACTACTCCTCTCTCTGTAACCCCCCCCCCCCCAACAAAAAAAAAGATTATATTAAAACTTCTTCCACGCCTTTTCACCCCCCCCCCCCCGTCCACCATCCACCGAAGTCTCATTAAAAATTTCAACATTCCCCCCCCCCCTTTTCGTCCTCCCCAACATCCAAACACTCATTGACCCCCCCCCCCTTACCCCCCACGCCCTTTTGCCCTCCTCACCCAACAACCAAACAAATTCGATTAAAAACTTCCCCCCCCCTCCCCCCCCCCCCACACAAACACCTTCCCAAACAACGAAACAAATTCAATTTTCAAAACTTCCCTCTCTCTCTCTCCTCTTCCTCTTTTTTTTTTTTGCTTGCTTTCCCCACAACCTCTTCCCCTTAGCAACGAAAGGCAAACTCAACACTGAAATTCCCAAACGCAGAACTTCTTCCTTTTAATATCACTCTCTCTCTCTCCCCCCCCCCCCTCGTCTCCTTTCTCCCCCCCCTCGTCTCCTTTCTCCCCCCCTCGTCTCCTTTCTCCCCTCCCTCGTCTCCTTCCCCCCCCTCGTCTCCTCTCTCCCCCCTTCCCCTCCTCCAGTGATGTGTCGGACAGCCTACGCCCTTCTTTTGTCAGTGGCGATGTGCCTTCAGCTCGCCGCCGCCTCGTCACAGCCGCTGTGGCACGAGCAGTCTGTCGAACATGAGGTCAGTCAGTCTGGTGGTTTGTAAAAGGTTTATATAAAAAAAAGAAATGTATGTAAAAATTAAATGTTTGTAAAGGAAATGTTTGTAAAAAAAGAAATGTTCGTAAAAAAAATGTTTTTAAAAATGGAATGTTCGTAAAAGGATGTTTGTAAAAATGGAATGTCCGTAAAAAAATGTTTGTAAAAATGATATGTTCGTAAAAAAAGGTTTGTAAAAATGGAATGTTCGTAAAATGATGTTTGTAAAAATGAAATGTTTGTAAAAAAATTGTTTGTAAAAATGAAATTTGAAGTTTGTAAAATAAGTATGCATGAAAATGAATGAGTAAATGATACCAGATTTGTAATTTCTTCTGATGATTTTAAAAAGAATATGTGTGAAGGAGAATGAATTACGAAATATAAGATTCGTAATTTGTGTTGGAAATGTTGGAAAGAAAACGTGTGAAGGAGAGCGAATGATTAGGTAGTGCAAGATTCGCAATATCCGTTATTCTTAATGCAATTACATCATAATTTGTTCTCGTTTTTTGTGTTGGTTGTTTTCTTTATTGTTATTATCATCATCACTGTAAATGTTATTGTTATCATCATTTTCTTTGTACTATTCCATTTTCATTGTTGCTGTGAATATTGATAATGAAATGATAATGTAATATTTATAAGCATTATAACTACCCTAATTATAAACTGCGGCACTACATTACTATTGTTGGCCATTATTATGATTTTTATCAGTATCTTTATCAATATCATAATAATATCAATAATAATCAACAACAGAGGTTATATTGATAACAGTAATGAAAGTATTAATGATGACAATAACAACAGCATCTATCATTATCGTTCTCACGGCAATAACAATGATAATAACAATGATAGATGCTAAGGATAGTAGTAATGAGGATAATGATTATACTACTACGACTAATGATAATGATAAAGATGATAATGATAATATTAATGATGATAATAATAATAGTAATGAAAACAATACTGATAAGGACAATAATAATAATGATAACAATGAGGATAATGATAATAGTGATAGTAGTGATAACAATAGCAATAAGGATGATGATAATGATGATTGTAAATAGACGTCATGAAATACAGATGATGATTGTGATGGTAGTAATGATGATGAAAAAGCTCTAAAATCAGCCCAGCCCACCAAAACGACATTGGCTCACCCCCTCCCCCCTTTCCCTCCCTCGTGCCTTGCCAGAGCCAGGACGTCGAGGACAGCCTGGTCCCCATCGTGTTCCTCCCTCTGGCCTCGCACCGCCCGTCCCAGCCCCTCCTCAGGTCGTCGAGCCAGAAGAGAAACTCCGAGATCCTCAACACCCTGCTGGGCTCAGAGGCTCTCGGGGCCATGAGGAACGCCGGCAGGAGGTAGTCTGTCTACGTCTACGAGGGTCAGGTGCCACCCGGAGCACTCCTTCGCGGCTCCTTCGAAGAACCCGAAGAAGGCTTGGCGAGAGATCAACACTTTCTTCAGTATCATTCCCTTTTTCATCTTCTTCTCGATAGACAGTGACAGCTTTGGGAGGAAAGACACGATAAAGACACAGTTCACAGGCTAGTTCAGTAAGGGGACTCCTTTAAAAATGCATTACATTGTGCATATTAGAGGACCTTGT